GAAAGAGACACAGCATCCTGCAAGAGAGCAGCGTCACATCACACTGCACACGCGGTCCCCGGATGACAACATCCACAAAGGCAGCTGGGCAGGCAGCCTCGCTCTGTGTCAGCTGTGTCGCTGGACTACTGCTGCTGCAAGGTGGGCTCCTCGCTATACCCTCGTTCTTTAGCACTAGGAGCGCTAAAGTTGACACATGCTTCCAATGTCATTTTTCAATCTCAGATCAACTAATCCTGCAAATCAAGACAGAGCTCAGCTAGCCCAGGCTTTTCAAGAGCAGTACTTAAGTGATTCAGTAATAGCTAAAACATTCAAACGACGTAGAGAAATTGGAAGAGATGCGGCCTGGCTAACTCCTGGCTCACGTGCCCCATGTACCTTCTCTTCCCCAGGCTGGCGACCTGAAATTGGAATGGAGAAGGCAGGCTCCAGCCCCATCCTCCAGTGACCCCGAAATCAAACCTCTGCGATCAGCCCCTTCTGCTCCAGCTGCACCCGTTCTGCTAAGAGCAGCCTAGTGCCCTACAAAATCCCCAGCAGAGCATCCAGCCATTCTCCCATGCAGAGAGCAACAAATTGTCCCAAATTCAACTGTTCTTACTCTTTCAGCAACAACAATAAACAACGGGTTGACTGAGAGAGAAGCTGATGGCGAAAAAAGCTCATAAAAGCTGGATTAAAAAGAACGCGCAAACAAGTTTAACCGATTTACAGTAAACGGAAGGGTTCCTTCTAAAATCCTTGAACAGCAGTATTTTGATGGGCAGGCCGGAATAACTTAGGCCTTGGGCCGAGCAGGCAGGAGGGCCCGGGGCACAGACGGCTGCAAGGACACACACTGCTCTGCTCTGCACAGCCTATGGACAGAGCAGCCCCACCCAGACTTCAGAGCCACCCCCGGGTTGAAGTACAAGGCAAAACGTGCATTGTCCTGTATTTCACCAGCCTCAGCGAAAAGTGCACATAAATGGAAAAACACACTGGTATTTAAGATGGTGAACAGAAGCCATCTCAAAGCCTCCCCCCCCATGCCAGGGTCACACAGTCAGAGCCACCAAGTTACCTAGTCACGTAAAATGCATGCGCAGTTTTCCGAGGAGATTCATCACAGCTCTGTGGCATTAGCAGCCCCAGAACGAGGTCTGCAAGCCTGCAATGCCCTCCTGGGACAGGCAAGCACAAGCACACAGCGACTCCTGACTGCCACTGGCCAATTCTGTCACTTAACATCTCTGTAAGAGCCACCTGGCCTTCACTAGTCAGAGCAACCAGGCACTTCACCAGGGACACGTCTCCACCCATGCAGCAAGGGGTAATTTATAAAAGCCTCAGATAGGTCTACACAGTGCAGCAGAGCAATGCAGAGATGCCCGGACAATACTGACCAGCCAGCGCCACAACTGGAGCCGTGTAACCACACGATGCTGCTCTCGGGGGCTGCATGGATGCATTAGCTCTCACCACCCCCTTACCCAGCTCTAAGTCTCTTGTCACCCATGGCTTTGTAAATCCCTTCTCCTCTGGGACTGCAAAACTTCAGACTTCAGCTGCTCTCTCTTTAACACAAAACCCTCGTTTCCAAACACTTGGAGCGCAAAATTCACTTTCCTGCTCATAAAACAGCCTCCTCAGGAATGAAAAGCAGTGGTGGTGGTTGAAAGGACAACAGTGCCACCAGTTTTGGACACGCCACACTTTCCATCACGTTGCAATACAGGGGAAGTTCCTGAATGCAGAACGCAATCCAAAACCTGGCTGACGGAGCTGGGGCTCAAATCCCGCAAGCTTTGAAAAACCGCTCAGGGTCTGCGCTGTTACCCTCATCAGACCTGAAGCCGAGTTCAATCCCAGCCGTGCACCTGGTGGCAGCGGGGCTGGGATCACCCTCAGAGGCCAGGCTGGCACCAGGAGAAGCGGCGCCAAACAGGAATCCTCTCGGACTGATAGCATTTTGGTCTCTGCATAGGCTATATTTTCAGGGAAACCCAGCAAGCCCAAAGCTCCTTACCCTTGGGGGAACTGCCAGAGGCCTGCAGGTCTCCTAGGTGTGATTCAGCTATCCCGAGTGCCGAGCCTGGGACCCTCGCGGGGAGGAGACCAATCTGTCTGCTCTCTAGTGAAGAAATGGAGGCAGCACTGAAGTGACTGCTCCACACCGTGCAGCAGGATTCAGAAGCACAACGCTGATCCTGCAACTCCTTAAGGCTGCAGGTCACTACTCGCTCTCCCTAACTGGACACCACAGGGGAACGTCATTTCCCTAGCAGCACGCACCAAGCAGTGCACGCGTTGAGCTAACACCCCATGAAAGCTATGACACGAGCACTCTGCAACCCTGGCCTCCTCTTTGTGGGACAGCTGTATTGCACTTTCTAAGCCAGGCAAGCAATTTCAGGACAAGCACCCAACCCAACCAGCCCAAAAATCGCCAACACCAGCAACAGACTGGAGATCAGCTGAACCAGAGTTGCCCATCGCTGTATCTCTGTCCCCAGCTAGGCTGCTGCTGCTGCTGCTGCAGGGAGAGCACCAAGCACCCGCTGTCCCTGCAGACCCCTGAAAGCAGAGCCCTCATTTACCTTGCCACCTCCAGGCTGGTGCTTCAGGTTTTCAGTTGAGCCAATTTTGGACTTGACGTTTTTCAGGTCAGGCATGGGGGCAGCTGACGGCTGAATGCGGCTCTTGGCAGAGGCAGGAGATTTTGGTGGGGTGCGAACCACTGCCACCTTCTTGGGCTCCCTGGCCGGCGGGGTGGGCAGAGAAGGGGTGCGGGAACGGCTGCCTGGAGTCCCTGGGGAGCCGGGACTGCTGTAACCACTTCTGTCTCCAGACTTTGGCTGCTCACCTGAAGGTTGTGGACACACAGGGGTAAGCACAGGATAAGCATCTCCTTCCCCACTCGCTGCCTGACCTCATGGGCTTGATCTGTCTGCTCCCAGGGCCCACCCGCTACTCCCAGAGCAGACCATCAGCGAGGAGGCATGGAGAGACTAAAACACCACTATTGCAGACACCACCCTGGCTGATGCAACCTGCCAGTGGTGCGCAGCACGCCAGCCACATGTCTTATACTTTCCCCAAGTATCTGCCGGTCCTTGCTGCCAGAAACACAGTGCTGGACTACATAGGATTTTGTCTGACCCAAGTTGCTCTCCTGTGCCTGAGACTTTCCCAGTGTCACCTAGGAAAAGCCAATGGCTGGAGCCCAGATATCAGGAGTCCAGCCTGGTGCTGCAGCTGCTGGCCCATATGATTTCTTCATAACTCCATCAGTGAGCCAAGTCAGGCATTGCCCACCCTGCAAAAGAGCTTTCCCTGTGGTCAGCCAGCCCTGTGAGCAGGGCTGGGATCTGGGGCGTGGGGAAGAAAAAGGTTCACACTGCTGTGCTGCTCCATGCAATGCAAGGGGGACAGCATACAGGCAAACTGCACTCTTCTGCTTCATTTTGAAATGAAAACTGGTTACAGGTCGTTTTCTTTGTATCTCAGAAGACATGATCTGCAGTGTCTGGATCATCAGGAAGATTCCCCACGCCAGTGTGACATTAGCATGTATGACAAAATGCAGACAAAAGACACTCAAACAAAACCACTTTTCTATAGAAATTCCAAAAGATTTTTACAAAAATTGATATTTTAAGAAATCAAATAAAACTGAGATTACAGAGCAGCTCAGAACTGTCCCCAGTCTAAAAAGAATTGGAAAAAAAAAAACCTTAAACATTTACCTTTCTCAGACTTTGCTGCTGCAGGAGGTGGTTTTTTCTGCTCCTTTTTGCCTGTTTAATGAATGAGAAAGATGCTTAAACATAATAAAGCTGAAAAATTAATTTAAGGTTTTATGCAGCTCTAGTAAGTATCAAAAATATACATGCTCAGTGAAATGCACTGTTTTAATGGAAATTCACAACGCCTGATGCTTTCTAGGGGTTTGTGCTTTGAGAATAACGGGCTAATCCCCATTCTTGCAATTGAACAATTGATCCTCTTGCCCCTGGTCTTTTTGAAATATCAAGAGAAAAGGAATAGATGGATTTAAAAAACTGAGTTGACTAAATCTTCCAAATTGGAGGAAATCCCAAAGGGATAAAGCAAGTGCCCTCTCCTGCGCCCTGGAAACTCTATGAATGGAGCAGACAAAGCAGCATCCAGCAATGCTCACCTGGGAGAAATAGTTCCTAGCTCTGCACTCACAGCCCCGTGAGACGGCTGAGCAGCTCCGGGTCACCACCCAGACTCAACTTGCCGTACCGTCCTGGCTGTGCCCCTGCCCAGGCTAGACTAGGGCAAACTTATTCACTACCCGGCACCACCGAAGCAGAGTCTCTAGACTGAGAGACACCACAGCTGTTGCACACGGTTCTCACCATCACCTACCGGAGCTGGGAGGTGTCTTGGGGGCCGTGGGCGTCTTTGCCGGGATGCGTGTGGCATTGGCCGAGTTCCTCTGAGCCTGCCCCGCTGCAGACCGTGGTGTGGCTGTCTTCGTGCCACCTCTCATCTCTGGCCCCTAGGGATGCAAGGGGAAAGGCCGATGCTGGGGGGAACTACTCAGAGATGGGCTCTCACCCCTCCTGCATCAGATCCAAGCAAGACCCCCTGCTTCCTCCCTTGATGGCCCACAGGAGCTCCCACGCGTTCCCTCAAATGCAGCCACCCATGATGTGCCTGTCCACACCCTGTCTCCCATCAACAGCACCTGCCACAACCACAGCATGGTCGCTCCTGGGCTGGCAGAGCAGCTGTGCCGTTTTCCCATGCCAGCTCTTAGCTTCAGTTGCATTATTTGTTGCACGCTCAAATCTGATTAAAAAGTAAGTTCGGCTCCTTTGCCTGTTCCCTGAATTTTGGCTTTTTGTTTCCCATGTGTCACTAAAATTTTTTTACAGAAGATAAATAGATCCAGCCACTGTCACCAGACTACAGGCTCCATTCAGGAGGACATGGCCAAACTCCAGACACTGAGAAACAACCTCCTCTGTCCCCACCTGTAATACCCTAATGTAACATGTAAAAACTCTGAAACAGTGTGTAAATAGGAACATGCTATTCACTGTCTTCTGATCCTGCAGAAAAGCCTCCCCAAATCTGTAAAACGGTATGCCCTCTTTCTAGTGCTGGTCTGTGTACGAAAACTCACGAAAAACATGCAAGTGAAAATTTAAAAGCTGACTGGCCCCAAGGCAGCAGGGAACCAGAGCAGAGCCATCACAATCCTTATCACAGTACAAACATATCCTTTTATTTGAGACCTGCAGTCTCTGCTCTCTCCTGCACTACATGAGTATTTGTATGACTAAACACCATGAAGAGACACTCCAAGCCACTTCTTACATTACAGAATAAGCCACAGATGTGTGTGCCTTTCCTACTCCCTGTGTAGCACCTGGCAGATCTGGCTCCAGCGCACTTCCTATACATCTGCTGCTACAGCCAAAGCTACGCCAATGCACCCATAAAACACAGCATAAAGCTGCGGAACAAAGAGCACAAAAGAGCACAAAGGGACCTGGAAACGCTTCAGAGACACAAAATAACACCCTGGAGCACAGGAGAGAAGTTTTTTTGCTTGAATGCAGAGCAGGGCGCCTATGTGCTGGTGAGAATGACCCAACTGCTTCAAACACCAAAACCGGAGCTGAGACCGGCCACGGCCACTTGGAGATAGCTGGTTATCAGGAGAAGCAAATCCCGCCCTCTCAACTAAAGGAGACATGGAAAACCTTGCCCAGCCAAGCATTGTCAGACCTCTTGGGAATGCCTTAAGCTATTCTTCGAGGCAGCTTTCAATCTTTCGCATCCCATTTCCTTACCTTGGCTTTGGTTTCTTGCATTCCGGTACTGGCAGGTCGGGATGTGACAGAAGAGACTCGTTTAGAGGTGGAAGCAGGGCTGGAGGATGTTTTCGAAGGGGTTGTGCTAGAGGAGGTGTGTCGTTGGGGGGGGATGGAGGGTCTATCGCCTGGGGGGTTGGCAGTGGAAGGTGAGGATTTCTTAAACATGGAAATAAAATAAATTGGAACAAAAAAAATCAGTATGGGAGGGAAGCAGAAGGGAATCACAGACATCCAATAGGATTTGAAGGTGCAATACAGGAGAGGTGACTGCTCCAATCGTCCTCTCGCTACAGCACATAGCCGGGCAAAGGCCAGGGACGTTGCCAGGGTCCCATGGCTGCACCAGCCGGTACAGCGTAGCTCAGCTCTGTACCTCCCGCAGGGCTCAGAAACACCTGAGCCCCTTTTCGCCTGCCTCTGCCACAGCCCCTCCACATCAGTAGCACATTTTACCATCCAAACTGCTATATTTACTCCCAGACCACCGGCAAAATTGCTGTAGGGTTCCTATGCCCATACCAGGTAGGGCACTATTAATATCTGCATCTCGGGGAGATGCAGATGACCACTTCCAGGTCTGTCAACTCCATCATATGTGTTTTATCAATAACGGCTTGTGGGTTTTTATCTAGACAGTTGCTTGATATCACATAAAACACCTAGCCTGATAAAACCCTGCCAAACTCCCTTAGAGAGCGAAATGGGTTTTGCAAGACCCAGTTTCACGTTGTTTGGGAATAAATATATTTCTCACTTTCAGTTCTTTACCCACTAAATTGTCAGCTTGTCCATTACCTTCCCCAGGCACTAGCCAGGCTAACCGCCAGCTGAACTACACCTCCTCTGAAACAGCCCTGTGACAGGTACCTTTCAAACCTCTGGAATTCACCCACTATTAAACTCTGCTCCTCACTCAGAATATAGCATCTGCTAGGCCTAGGCTATTTCATTTAATTTTCTAATTACATATTTTGCTCTTTTCACTGTTACGGTGCTTTTTCCCTACGCAGCCCACTGCAGTTCCGAGTTTGCTTTCACACGAGTTTGCCCCGGCAAAGCCAGCCTGCTGCTTTCCAGTCTTGGGCTGAGAAAAGTGTTTTCTCTAACCACCCACACAACTCCATGAGCCACAAGTTTGTTAGATTTCATTCACCTCCTTCCCCTCAAAAATCACTGTGGATTGCACCATCCAAACCGGGATGAGGGAAGACAAAAATAAAAACACTCTTGAAAGAAAGAATGAAGAATGAGGATAATGGCAAAGTTTCCTAAGAGGTACAACTGTAGTCCAGGAGAGCGGGAGAGGGAGACAGGAACCTGGACAGCATTTGGTGGGCTGATGTCACCTCTGGCTTTATTCGTTAGCTTACCTTCGGTTTCTTCTCCTCAGCCCCTTCCTTGTCTTTGCTGTCAATACGAGCTGACAAATGGAAACACGCACAGTTACAATGAATTCCACGCAGTTGTTAATGTGCATGCTACAGTAATGTGTATGCTGGGTGGGCTTTCCTGCTCTCATTTAAATTAAATACTATTCTTAACAATAATAAATATTGCAGTACAATATTACATTTCTTGCAGAAGTACTTTCACCTCTTAAGCATTTTCTTTCTGGGTTAACAGATTATCTTGTGCACAGGCAACAGTGCATTAATCCTTGCTGGATCATCAGATGCACACAACAAGGGCTGTATGAGACCGTTTTGCCCAGATTAGTACGCAGTTCTAGTAGCAAATATTGAGTTTAGCAAAGAACAGCTCCCTTCACGCCTAAACATGACTCTCCCTCTCTAAAGCAAACACCCATTTGGTCCTAATGACCATATATATAAAGACTAAAATTGAAGGATGCCCCCATCCTACCCGTACCAAGTTGCCTACGGTATCGTTTAAAGTTGTTCAGCACGTTATAGCTTGCAAAGCACTTTTCTTCACAGCAGCTGTCACTTCCCATCTCTCCCGACGCACTGCTTTCTGCCTCCCCAGCAGACAGCGCGCCTTTGATTTGGGTCAGGCCCAACAGGGTCTTAAAAGTTTTAGCTGTCTTCGTGCTCAATTCATACCAAACATACAGTGACTCTCACAGTATTTCACTGTTTTGCCCTATTAATTTATAAGCACAACAGACTCTGCAGTATTGCTAATTAGGAAATTAGAAACAGAGAGGAAATAACGTTTGTACGATAGGGCACTCGCAACAAAGCCCTCTGCCCATCAGTTAATTCCTCCCTAATCTGGGAGGAAAAGCTGCTGATATTCACCTCAATGTTTTGGAAATTCGCCCTGGCAGGTCAGCCCATTCCAATGACATGAACAATGCAGTTTACCCAGCACTCATGACCGTGACCTGCCCCAGCAGCCACTCTTGGAGCTGGTAGATGCACCTCCCTTCCCAAATTCAGTAAAACTGCAGAGCGGAGCAAGGCTGGGGCAAAACAGCCACAAAGTATCTCTGTCTTCGTAGGAAATGCCCATTAATTAATTCAAGAAATTCCTCCTCTTGAATCAGTAACTGGTGACTGTGGACAATGCACCCCCAACCCACCATCGGTTTCGGGCTCTGATGCGCAAGCCATGCGGATGTCCCGCAGCACGTGTGCGAAGCTTCCCGCTAGCTGATCAAGTAGTGAACAATGAGAAATATGTTATGAGCTTTAGCTCCAATGGGAAAAGCTACATCAACAATTTCCTTGTGAGCCCTGTGCAGCAAAGGGCACGCTTCTCTCTGCCATAAACGAGAGAGGCAGCGAGGAGGATTTCCAGGCTAATGGAAGCAGCCAAGCCAGCTTTTGAGACGCAGCACCAAGGTGAGAGGCAGAGCTTCCCCCAGGCCAGACCCTGAGCAGCTGGAGCTGAGATCCAATACAGAGGGACCCCATCGGGTTTTGACGCATTGTCCCCCTACCTCGGGTTATTAATGCAATTCACTGTAAAATCTACATTTTGTTGCTGAACAGTCCCCCCAGTGACATCCCTCTGACCCCCCTGTAAAAGTGGAAAATAGTTCTTGAAGAAGAAAAAGATCTAAGAGCTACGCTGCTGGTGGGAACCTTCATGCTTTGAGGGGTGAACTCAACTCTTCCCCCAAGACAGCTAAGGCTGACATATCGGCATAAACACAGCTGCTCCAGTGTCTAACTGCCCTCCCAACATGCCAGCAGGTGGAGGATGCTCAGCCTAGTGTCATACCCACTGTTAAGATGCGTCAAAGGGCCACCCCTCTAAACACACAGGCAGCTCCAGCAAAACAACCCAAAATTCAGCCACCTTGTTAGACTATCCAGGCACACGCCATCCAGAGCCGGGATCAGAGCACAATGCTCTCCGTAAGAGCATTAGATGTGCCCTGTGGTGGGCAAAGGTCCAGCTAGCTGCATGCCTTGCCTCCAACAGCAGTCAGCAGGGGCAAGGTACAAGAAATAGGACCAACGTGGGGCCTTTTCCATGGTTATACCTGTCATCTCACTTGCCTTTTTCCTCCTCCGTGCTCTTTAGGAAAGCTGATACAAAGAGCTAGGTTATCAGACTGAACAGTGGACACATGCAAACCAGATGGCACGTGTCTTGCTGGAACGAGCTACAGCGTGCGCTAGGCTAGCCCACTCCAACATGCCAGAACAATGTCCATCCGGTTCCTCTTCTCCGCTAGGAAGACGCAGGGTTTGAGTTAAAGAGCCCACCCTACAGATCCAAAGAAATCGAAGCAAAAACAGGAGAATAAAGCATGATCGGGGACACGCCAGCACCATGCAAGGGACGCAAAACCAAAGCATGAGGGTCTGGCAAACATGCCAGGATATCCAGGATTAAACTAAAGGGGGAAGGAAGGGGAGGGAGAAGCAGTGGTGCATTGTAGATCAGTTCACAGCAAAGGTCCAGGCCATTTCCCAAGCAGCAGGATTCGAGAGGTGGCAGCCTTGCTGTGAGCAAGCTACCGGCAACACGAGCTCAGGGCAGGCAAACGGTGCACACACCTTTTAGGAGAGGAACACGACTGCCTGCTTTCTCTGCAATGTGAGCATCAAGTTTCTTCTTGGGTGTCTGGCGTCCTCCCGTATCCGGCACAGCCTCTTCCAAAGGAGCATCTTTGCCTTCCACATCATCTTTTAACCCAACAGGGAGTTTGGCTATTTTTAGCAAGGGTCCCGAGTCCTCTCCCTCCCCAGCTTCAGCTTCGGTTTGGGAGATTTCAGAGGGCTCTAACAGGGTGACATCTGTTTCTTCTTCCCCCTTCAATGGCTGTCTCCTCTCCTCTTGGTCTTGTCCTGCTTTGTGTGTTTCCGTTTCAACAAGAAGTGCCTCTCTTGATACATCTCCGAAGACATCTTTGGCCTTGATTTCTGCAAAAGCGTGTTCTTCATGAGCTTCCTTGGCTGTTGCTAGACAGAAGCCCACTTCAGGTCCTGGAGAAACATGCTGTCCCACCAAGGAAATCAAATCCTGGTGAGCAGTTTCATCAATGTCACGGTCCTCATCTCTTTCCTGTCCACTGGCATCTTCTTTTAAAGGAGCTCTGGTGTATAATGGAGATGTCCCATCTTTAATATGGGAATCATCTGTGACATCTGCTCCTGCCAACCCCTCAGTGCACACATCGCGACCTCGTTCTGTTCCTGGTGCTTCATCCACACCAATGCCCTCTCTGCCTCGATGGTCCCACAACTCACTGCTGTCTTCAGATGGTCTGGAGTCTTGGTACATATCTGGGGGTATTGGGATAGTGACCTCGATTCTGGTGGGAGCAGCTGCTGTAGCCTTCATTTCATGTGACAAAAGAGGCTCCTGAGGAAGCCCATCTGCCTGCTTTGAGGGCTGGCTTTCTCTTTTTATTGCATCTCCCACACGCTCCTGAAGTTCAGGCTGCAGCTTTGGAGAGCTTGGCTCCCCTGGAGTTGAAGACGCAGGTACGAAGCACGGTAAACAATTAGCACAGGCATGTCAAACAGGAAGTTGGTCATACAATGCTAAAGAGAGACTAAGAATTTTTACAATCGATCTAGAGGGTGAGAGCAAGTCCCATACTGCCCCATTCAACAGAAATCACTTCGGCAGTTGCTTCTGGCTTTAAAGGAACTCTGACCCCCGTGGGAATCAGAAACAGCGATGGCCATAGTAGGTGGGGAGAGTAGACTCCTCCCTGGCCCTGTCTCAGCAGTGGTTGGGGTATCCCAGCCATGTGCCATAAAGGCCAACATCTGCAACATCTGCACTTTATGTGCTGGTTTAGCTACAGAGGTTTTCAGAAGCCATGAAAACACTCAGCTTCTAAACTGATGATGACACCAGACCATCAGTTTGCTGATCAGTAACAGTCACAGACCAAGCAAGGCTGAACGAAGCTGCTGGCTGCTTTTATTTGTTCAGAATATGTTTGCTGCTCACTCTGCTGAGAGGCCATCCCTCCTTCCCATAAGGGGCAGAACAAAACAAGCCTGGTACCCTCCCTCCTTCATGAGGTTACAAATGCCTACCGTTTTCTCCCTTCCAGGAGATGTTGATGTGGCCTGGTCATCAGCTACATCCTCCCAGAGTTCAAACCATCTCTGCTTTGTTCTCCTGATCGTTTCTATTCCTAACGAGCATCGGGAAGAGCACTCCTACATCTCTGCCTCTTACTGCTATGTATTTAAACAGCCCATCCCATCTGCTCCAGTGGAGCAGAGAGCTTCTGTGGAAAGGAGTAGCAGTAAAAACGTGGTTGTAGCCATACAGGCAGCCACAACAATTTTGGACTGTACACCCACTCAGGCTAATTAGCATTCCAGCACTGCCACCACCACTGGGCCACAGTAGAAATTGTGACATTTAAAACCCAAAACTTAAGGTCACAGACACACAGATCTTTTTTTTTCAGGGTAAAAGAGACAATTATGTTCTATCACTGATCTCATGTGTGACACAGACCTTTACAATTTCATCCAACAATTACCCTCTCAAGCCATATATTCTAGCTGAGCTGGAGCTTTTCTCTTAGAAACTCATCCAGCTGAAGCAAAGATGCATTGAGCAATGGAGAATTCATCCTGAACATAGGTAAATTGCCCCAAGTCAACTCCCCTAAAAAGAACGTGGATTTTGTACTCTGAATTTGTCGAGCTTCAAATTCTCTTTGGGCCTTTTAAGCCCTAACCTGGTAAACTAAAGGGCTTAGATCAGAGCACCTTAGTATACTTAAGATTTCAGTTGTTGTTTTGCTAAATGATAGAGATTAAAATAAGACAAAAAGTCAATACTGACTCAGTCTTTTATCAAAGACCTCCCTATTTTAAGAGAACATAAACTTAAATGAAACTACCACATGGAGACCTCCAAACTTGTGGTTTAAAAGAGACCTGAAATAGGCACCTATTGGCAGGTAATATTTGAAATGCGGCATCAAGAAACTCCCTTTATAACCGACCACAGGGATTTGAAGGATGCTTATGCAGCGGCCAGCAGAGCATCTTGGCTCATTTCCTTCTGCAAGCAAAGATAACATGGCCAACATGACTGCTGATGATCAGTCTGGTGATGTGGCCTGTCAATTCATTAGCTGTACTTCCATACTCCAGGACTCATGAGTTGTTCCGAGGTGGATGTGCAGCGCAAGGTCAAGGGTTGGCAGAATGCCACCACGGCAAAAATTACGGCTCAAAAGATGCTTTTCCAACTGAAATTCCAGAGGCATTTGAACATGCTCCATCTTCACACCAAAGATCATTTTTCAAATTCCACAATGTGAAAAATGAGGGTAGCCAGTAACAAGATATCCATGACTGTGTGCACACATCAGTAATAGCGTTTTCCTCCGAATCGAAGACGACGACATCATCATTAAAAGGAAGCACGTTTTTAAAAGTCTATTTTCAGAGAAGTAATAATTTATATAAGAACCTAGAAATGTCATATACTGGTCACATCAGAGCTCCAGCTAGCTGTGTATTCCCATATCTGACTGCTGAAAGACCCCAGCACAGTACAGGAAAGTCTTAGTAAAACTCTGGTGAGAAACAGCAGCTAGAACCAGACTGAACAAGGCAGACAGGAAAGAGAACTTTACCACCCTCCTGTTACAATACTGGTTTCTTGTTTGTAGCAACGCCACTATTTTAAGTGCAGAAGAGCTGCTAGTTCAAGAACCACTGGACAGACTAGCAAAGGTTTTTTAATTGCAAGGAGCAGACTGCGAATAACTGTGCTCATTTTTGCGTGGAAAGCAAAAACATCCTGAATTCTGCCCTGAGCTGAGAAAGCAAAGACGACTACTCACTTCTTCAAAAGACATGGATGCTTGCAAACACAGTCACATAGCCATGAGGAAGAAAGATGCCCAAACAGGTGGAGGAATTTGTTACACATACCACAGAGAAAACTGCCTTACAGGATTTAATTGAATCCCCTATGGGATTTCATTGAGTTTTTTAATAGCACGCACAATTAGTGCTTTGGGTATGAGTGCAAGCAAGAGAGCTATACCAAAGTGAGTCTGAACACCTAACGGCCCCACCGGGCACAGAATTAAGCCAGCGCTAGTTGCTTTCAAAAAACCCATCCTGAAGTTTTCAGTTAAGTCTGAACTGAGCAAAGCCAAGACAGGCTTTCCAGATAACCAGGAGGTCCCTAGATAATTCCTTGGCTCATCTAAGCAGATGCACAATTAATGCTCTATAAATGTTCACTGCCTGCTGCGCCTGGCGTTATAAGTCACGTGCTCTGAGACTGAGACGAAAGCACTCTTAATGTTAAAATAAGTGCATCAGTGACAAGCTCTGAGACTGTCTTTTAAGTTGAACCGAGACACAGCAGTTAGAGTCAAACAATTAACTTTCTAGGGATGTGAAATGCAGGGCCCAAATTGACTCTATTCAATGCTGAGCAGCTCCTCTCCTGGCTGACCACACCACGCCTGCTCAGTTTATTATCTTTTCTAGCCTGGAGGATGCCCTGTTTTTCAACTGAACGAAGAAAACCAGGGCTTCAGCCATCTGAAAGAGAAAGTTGGTGTATGAAAAGCTGTGGTTCTCTGATGAGTACGCTGGGACATTCAAAGCGTGTGCGACCCTCCCCAGTCAGGGACAGGGAGAACTGCACAGCTGCTCAAACAGAGCAGATGCATTAGAGAAGAAAAATCCCAAGTCACTAGCAACCACCCATATGTGTGGGCAGCAATAACTGGATCCCAGTGACAGATGTTCCACTAACCTCGAGCGGCATCTCCTGCAGCGTGGTCCTCCAGGTTGGGGGTGGCTCCTACGCCTGCCTCTTCAGCTGGTCCCAGATGAAAGAAAGAAAAGGAAAGCACAACCAAAACCACAGGAATTAAATTTAAACATAGGCCTGGAAAATTTATTTACTTCCCTGCTGATTCTGCCCATCACCGCTGTATTGCGAGCATAGCAACATCAGAAAGACAATTAACCTATGACGACGATGGATCTAGCTAGATGTATTTAGCAGCGTGTGCTGCACCAGACTGGAGGAATGTTTCACTGAATCATACATCCTGGGTGGCAGGTCAGTAGAAGTTCCTCCAGGCAGAGGTGCAGAAAACAGGCTGTTAAGGAGCAGGGAAACTTTAGATTTATATCCCCTCTTCTACCCCCACCTAGCGTTTACACGGGTGTCAGCACTCGCATGAATCTCTAACTCTCACCTGAGCCCTACCTTCCTGGTGTCTGTCACCTAGTTTACCCCAAGGAGCTCTGCCAAGGCTATTTTACAACATTAATCTGAGTCCCTCTGATATGAATCTGACACTTCAGGAGTACTGGTAGATTAGAGAAGTACAATTTTCTTCACAGCAGCCGTAATGGTTCGTCTCTATCAGAATTCTTTCATTTTATCATGTGACTACATTCAAACAAACTTAACTGATACCAAAATTATATCTGTATGTCACAGTTCTACAGTCAAATTAGGATGTTCTCCTTTTTCCCGGTCTTTTCCAAAGTGCTCAGGGGACCGCTTCCTCCTAGCTCCCTGGTACAGTCAGATCTTGAATCAGAGACTGCACATCCTTGCTAACAGGTGAGCCCACTCTGTGCTTCAGTCCAGGGCTCCACCAGCAGCCACGGGACTGGACCTAGGACAATTTGGCTGCCAAGGGAGTGTGCAGGAGGTCTGCTTAAATGTTCAGGCATTGGCAGAAGCCCATTTCCACCCACCACCTTTCTCGGCACCTGCAGAAGCCCATTTCCACCCACCACCTTTCTCGGCACCTGCACATACCCTGCCTGATACTTCCAGGAAAACCCAGACGCTACCGCACAGGAGCCATGCACTCCTTTTGCAGATACAAACCTGGCTCTCCTGGGATCCCCTGCCCTGTTGTATGTGCACAGCACTGCTGTAGCTCCATCCCTTTTTACACCACCTCTGAAAGACCCCCATTCCTCCCTGCAAAACCAAGCCCGGGTGCAGTGATTTCCCAAAGAGCATTCAGGTTGAATTAGCCACTTCACTTCCTCTGCATTATCTTTAAAATGTGCCAGCAGCCAAAGAACTGCTGCAGTGGCCTGGTTTTCACCTGCCACTTCAAAGACAACTGCATGGGCTGAGCTGAGCCAGAGCACCAATGAGACAAGCAGCAAGGTCCTGCAGCAACCGCCTCGCCTCTCCAGCAAAGCGGGACTGCCATCAGAAGGACAGAGATGACCTGGATCTGCAGATAAGTGCTTAGCCTGGAGATGGGAGAAGAAGCCACCACAGAAACACCAGACAGAAAGATTGTCAGATGTGGAGCTGAGAAAGAGAGACAAAAAGGTTGCAAGCTTCCCGCAGGCTGGGGAAGGCAAGAGTACAATCATCAGCTAGGAATTATTTCTGCAGGCCGTGGAGAAGAGAAGCACGCATCAGGA